CACCCCAAGCAGCCAAGTGCTGATTAGGTGCCCTCTGCTTTGTCCGTTCCGTTGTCATCTCGGCATGTCCCACCGCGCCTCACGATGCCTCACCGTGCCTCACCTACCATGCGTCACGTCACCATCCTCACATGATCACATGTCTTCTATCCGGGCACAGCAGCACACACTCGTTTCAACTATCTTACCTGTCCATCTCCACTCCAACGCATCTCTGAGTCTCTCTCTGACCTGCCCTCGGTAATGAATTATCAATCACCCCATCTTCTCTGCTGCTTTGCTGCTCGTCAACCTCCTCGTCGTTCTTCCTCCATGTGCTGCCGTCTTGCTTTCCCTTCTCGTTTATACACCGCCAGGGATGCACACAGCAACAATCTGACAGGGCCAATCCCTGCCAGCCTGGGGGACCTTGAAGGCCTTGTCACTCTGTCAGTTACCTTCCTCCCTGCTTTCTCCCCATCTCCCATCTCCCATCTCCCATTTCCCATTTCCGACTCACATGGAAGTGCACAAACACATGCACACACCATACATGCACACGCTCACACTCAATCATGCATGCTTCCCTCCCACCGATGAATATCTCCCCGTTCGACACACACACAAGCGCATGCTGAAGGTGACTTATGAGTTGAGAGGGAAACCACCTAGCGTGCTGCCTATGGGGACAGACAGACACCACCTGTGCAGCGCAGCACAGGTGGTTTCCCACGCGACTCAACCGGCAACTGCATGCCGCTGCCCACTGCGAGCGGCTTCCCCCCTCTCTGCGCCCGTTCCACCACTCACTCACGTCACATGTGTTCTGGACCTCCCTGCTTTCATTCACCTTCACAGTCTCTTTTTGTCCATCCATGTAAGCGCTCCTCCCATTGTTCCTCCTCGTTCCTTCTCCTTTTCGCCTACACATTCCACCCTCTTCCACCTGTGCACGAGCAGAGATCTCAACGGCAACGGTCTGACAGGAGGCATTCCGCCAACCATCACCAAGCTCAGCTACTTGCAATCACTGTCAGCACACATACACACTCTTCTCGCACCCCGCCCTTCCCCTCTCTTCTCCTACTCGTTCCAACGCACACACACATGCACACACACTTTCACTCCCCTCGTGCCTTCCTCCTGTCGACAACCTCCCAGCCCTCCTTCCACTTTCCGTTTTTCTCTCCATTCCTCCTCGCCCTCTCTCCATTCCTCCTCGCCCTCTCTCCCTGCATTTTACCCCTCCTTTCCTGCATTTCCCTTCTCCCTCCGTGGTACACAACCCATTTCAGCAACTATAAGCCAACTGCGATTCACCATGCTTCAGAAACTGTCACCCCACCTGCCTATTGCTGTCATGCCACATGCTTGCTTGCACCAGGAGTCAACTCATCTCCCCCCCCACCACATCCACACCGCTACGTCCTCTGCTCCTCTTTGCATCTTCCTTCCATACATTCTCCTTCCCTATCGCCGTCTCTCCTCCTATTCAACTCCCGCCTCCCCTCTTTTCTCCCCGCTCTCTCTCCACGCCCCGCCACTTCCCCGTCCCTCTGCCCTCGCCTCCCCTCTTCGCTCGCCCTCCTGCAGGGACCTAAGCTTCAACAAGTTGGCCGGCGCCCTTCCATCTAACATCAGCAACCTCTTCTCCCTCACTAGTCTGTCAGTGCCTGACCCCTGCCTGCCACCCCACTCTCCCCTTTTGAGTCGACTCAAAAGTCACCTCCTTCCATCTAACATCAGCAACCTCTTCTCCCTCACTAGTCTGTCAGTGCCTGACCCCTCTTGCCTGCCACCCACCCCACTCTCCCCTTCCGCCTCCCCAATCGCTGCTCCCATCGTTGCCTTGCCCGGCTAATCTCTGTTCCTTTTTCTGTGGCGCTCTCGTGCTAATCTCATCTCATATATGCTAGCAATCTCAATGCCGTCAAGTCAATGCAAAACTGTGAATAGTTTAGCCTTTATGAGCACCTCTGCACCTTGCACTGTTGTCACCCCAGTCCTAGCACTCAGTTCTTTGACTCTAGCACTCAGTTTTTCCCCTCTTGCACTACTTCTAACCTCTCTCTCTTCTCTTTTACCCCCCTGCATTTCTGCTACTCCATACCGCTTCTCTTCTGCCCCTTTGCCTCGTTGCTGCTACCCCATGCCTGTTCTCTGATACTCTCATGCATTCTGCCCGCCTGTCGCTATCCCTCTAACTCTTTACGCCCCGCTCCTTTTCTTCACACCGTCCTTCCCTTTGCTCTTTCATCCTTTCCAACTCCCACCTCTCTCTGTCCCCGGGTGCCTTCCCTGTCTGCCCCACCGCCTTGCCTGCCCCGTCTGGCCTTCCTGTGCCTGCCTGCCTCCTGCTCGTCCTGTGCAACCCCCACGCTCAGAGTGGTAGCGGACAACAAGCTCACAAGCAGTGTGCCTGACTCCCTCAGCCTGCTCGACAGACTCAACACCATGTATGCAAGCATGGATGCATGCACACACGCAAATGCTCCTCCTCCTTGCCTTTTGAGTCGAGTCAGATGTCAGTTCGACACCATGCATGCACGCAAGCAGTCCTCCTCCTTTCCCACTTACCTAAACCGAACTCCGTCCCATTCTCCTCTCCTCCCTTCCCCTCCCACACCCCTCTTCCTTCTCTCCATGTGCTTCTCGCGGTCTCTCCCATGCCCTGCTCCCATGCCCTGTACCCATGCCCTGTACCCATGCCCCGTATCCATGCCCTTTGATCCGGCTCAAAACTCTTCTCCCACTCCCACTCCTTCTCCGCCACTCCCACTCCTTCTCCGCCACTCCCACTCCTTTGCTGCTACCTGCCTCTCTGTGTCCCTCCCCGGTTCCAAACCCCCGCTCTTTGCTTCTATTATCATCCTTGACCTTACCTGCCAGCTGCGTCCTCTCGTTCCCGCATTTAATCGTGCTGCTTTTCCCATGTGCGCCTTCCTCCCTGCCCCTGTGCCCCCACACCCCCATGCCCCGGTGCCCCTGTGCCCCTGTGCCCCGGTGCCCCTGTGCCCCTGTGCCCCGGTGACCCTGTGCCCCTGTGCCCCGGTGCCCCTGTGCCCCTGTGCCCCGGTGACCCTGTGCCCCTGTGCCCCGGTGACCCTGTGCCCCTGTGCCCCGGTGACCCTGTGCCCCTGTGCCCCGGTGCCCCTGTGCTCCTGTGCCCCTGTGCCCGTGTCTCCCTGGCCCCCTGTGCATGTGCTCCCAGAGACATCTCGAGCAACAGCATTACGGGAATTCTCCCCCCCGGCCTCGGTGCTCTCAGCGTCCTCAGCAACCTGTGCGCACCCTCCCTCACGAGTCACGCCTTCCCTCACACCCCGTCTGCAGCACTCCTCTCTGTCCCTCCGATTGCCAGCCCCCGCCCTTCTCCCCCGTTGGACTTGCATTGTGCACATCACCGACACATATCAAGTACCTTGCCGATCCAGCTTACTCACGTGATTTTGCATTTGCACACATCGGCATCACCTGCATCCCTATCGTATCATCCATATGCTTGCATCGCATGTGTCCCTGCCTCCCTCACTTCCTTCCCAGCTCACTCCCTCCCTCCGCTTCTCCTTCCTTCCCTTCCCCTCCCTCCCACTTTTCCGTCACTTCCCCCATCCCCTTTCCCTCCTCCCCCTCCTTCTCCCTCTCCCCATCTCCCTCTCCATCCCCCTCCCCCTCCTCCAACCCCTCCCTTTCCCCTTCCGCTTTCCTTTGTCTTGTGCACCTCCCCACTTCCCCACGTTCCCCGTCGTGCGAACACACCAACACATCACGCCAGCACGTACGACGAGGCCCTCATCAAGTGTCCCAGCTACCCACAGAACGACTGTGCCACGCAGCAGAACTTCCTCAGCACCTTCTGCAAGCAGTGCTTCGGCTTCTGTTCCGGCTGCCTGTCCAAACACCCTCCACCGCCCATCCAGCCCCCACCTCCCCCAATTGCACCCCCCCCTCCGCCTTCTCCTCCTCCCCCTTCCCTCTCTCCTCCCCCTCCACCTCCCCCTCCTTCTCCTCCCCCTCCCTCTCCCTCTCCTCCCCCCCCCGCGCCCCCGCCGCCCTCGCCGCCCCCACCTCCTGCGCCTGAGGCTGCTGCGGGGCTGTCAGCAGCAGCGGTGGTGGGAATATCGGTGGCAGCAGCGGTGGCCGTGCTGGGCTGTGGCTGCCTGGGCTTTGTTCTCATCGCCCTCTTTAGGACCAAGAAGTCACGAGGAGGTGAGTCTTTCTGCCTGACCAGGGGTGTGTGGGTGTGTGTGGGTGTGTGTGGGTGTGTGTGTGTGTGTGTGAGGGGGTTGGAGGAAGGTGGTTATGAAGGTCGATGTGAGGGCAGAGACGCGGGAGGTTGTAATGAGTACCTCTGCTTCCGACGAAGGAGTGAATGTGTTAAAGTCTTAATGCGCTACCCTCTCCCCTCTATCCCATCCTCTGTCTTCCACCCCCATTCCCCATCCCCCATCCCTCGTCCCCCATCCCCTAAACCCCGTCCCACCCAACCTCCCCCATCCCACGTCCCCCATCCCACATCCCTTTTTGTCCCGACACCAGCATCAACGATGCGCACGGCCAGCAGTGCGGTGCCGCAGGTGTGCTTGCAGTACTCGTTGGAGGAGGTCACGCGAGCCACGTCCGATTGGGCCGCCGCCAACAAGATCGGCAGCGGGGGCTTTGGGGACGTGTACCGCGGCGTTGACCCATACAACCCGGCCATTCCCTGGGCTGTCAAGCGCGCCCGCGTGCTCACCAACGACTTCCGACGGGAGGTGAGGCCAGTGGGTGGAAGTTCATGACAAAGGCTCGTCTGCCCCTCCTCCACACTCTTTTGTCCCTCGCTGCAGCTGCGGCATCTTCTGTTTTCACCCTGGGTCTCTTTCCGGGTGTATGTAGCTGGTTGTGCCCTCCTTGCTGCATGCCCGCTGTCGTATGTGTGCTCGCTGTCGAGAGTCATTGTGAAATATCTGAATAACGGCACAAGCTGACCCCTTGTGCGCCCTGCCCTTCGCCCTTCGCCCTGTGCCCTGTGCCTACAGGTGAACGAGATGGCAACAAAGCATCATCCGAACCTGGTGCGGCTGCTGGGGTTCTGCATAGACGGCGATGCGGCATCGGAGAACATAGAGCAGATCGGCATCTACGAGTTCATGATCAATGGCGACCTCTCCAAGAGGCTCAATGCTGGTGAGAGGAGGAGGACGCTGTGAAAGATGCTGGTGCTGTGGTGCTGTGATGAAGGCTGGTGTGGTGACGGGTGGTGTTTGGTGAGGGTAGTGACGGGGGGGGGGGGGGGGGGGGGTTATGCTGTGGTGGATGCTGACAAATGCGCGTGGTGAGTGATTGCATTGTGTACAGCTGATGGTTTGGAAACACAAGCAGCATCAGAGAGCCAGCAGATTCATGCTTCGGGCGTGCTAATTTCGTTAGAGTGGTTGTTACGGGCTCGAAGGGTGGGAGGATGAGAGAGGGTGTGAGGGATGGAGTACAGGGCATGCCTTCTTTCAGAACTGAACTGTGGAGAAGTAAGCGAGGTGGCAGCAAAGAGCTGATTTTAGGAGTTACACGGCCAAAATGTCATCCCCTCTTTTCCCTCTGTCATTCGCGGAACCCCCACCACTTGCAATCGTTCAGAGGACCCATTGACGTTGAAGCAACGGTTAGAGATTCTCATCGGAGTGGCTCGCGGGCTGGAGTATATGCACAGCTTTGGCATCGTGCATCGGGACATCAAGCCCGCCAACATCCTGCTGGATAGCAACATGCAGGTGAGAGTGCTGCCTCGTGCATGCGAAGTGAAACACGCAACAATCAGCCACTAGTTCCTACGGGGCGACAGGAAACAAGCTGCAAATTATGAGGCACGTAACAAAACGTTGGTGCATGTGAACGCCCCCCTGTGTCCTCTCCCCCTTTCCCTGGTTTTGCAATTTCCCTTTCTTGTACCCGCACTTGTTCCCCCTTGCCATCCCTCCCATTCCTCTCATCAATCTCGTGCTGTCTTCTCTTTTTTCCACATCCCACCCCCCACGGCTGGCAGTCAAAGATAGCAGACTTTGGGCTGGTGAGGATGGGCGAGGGCACACAGCTGCATTCCACGCGAGTGCTGGGCACACCGGGCTATGTGGACCCTGCTTACTCTCAGTCTCAGAAGGCTCCCACTACTGCTGACGTGCACAGGCAAGTGCTGGCTGCCGCTGCTGCTGCTGCCGCTGCTGCTGCTGCCGCTGCTGCTGCTGCTGCTGCTGCTGCTGCTGCTGCTGCTGCTGCTGCTGCTGCTGCTGCTGCTGCTGCTGCTGCTGCTGCTGCTGCTGCTGCTGCTGCTGCTGCTGCTGCTGCTGCTGCTGCTGCTGCTGCTGCTGCTGCTGCTGCTGCTGCTGCTGCTGCTGCTGCTGCTGCTGCTGCTGCTGCTGCTGCTTCTGCTTCTGCTTCCATCACTCTTCCTTCTCTGCAGAGCTAAGAAATCTGTGCAACCCACTCCCCCTCTCACACCCCTGCAACTTCCCATCGGCCCACATCCATGCACAACTCCCCATATCCCTCCCCCCCCTCCACCAGTTTCGGCGTGCTGGCCCTGGAGCTGCTGACGAACCGGCACGCAGTGTTCATGCTGGAGGGCGGGCAGCAGGTGAACATCAAGGAGTGGACGGCCAAGAAGCTCGCCAGCAGCCGCATCGCAGACATCTGCGACCCGCGCATCGCAGCCCCCGACGCCCTCGTGCGGTGCCTCGCAGAGCTCGCCATCTCCTGCACCACCATGCCCACCGCCTCCCGCCCCACCATGGGCAAGGTTGCGAGCGAGCTCGAGGCGCTCAAAGACGAGTTTGTCGGGCACGAGGTGAACCGGGCGGCGAGGAATATCGACGAGCAGATTCATTCGGCGTCGCAGCTGCACCGGCCGCTGGATGAGGAGCTGGATAGGATTTCTAATATGACGCCGAGCAGCGGGCCGGGGAGCACGATGCGTGAAGAGGGCAGTGGGATCGTGCCGGTTAGTGGCAGCACGCATGAGGAGGAGTCGCTGTGTGTGAATGTCTCGCATGCTGCTGGGTGAGGGTGGCAGTGGCACGTTGGAGCGTTTACTGTGCACGCTTGGTTAAGAGTTTCCTTCGTACCGTGCAGTAGTGCGATGTAATGGGATAGGGTGGGGTGATGTGGGTTGGGTTGGGATGGCACGGTACGCTTGCTGATGGGCCATTGTGAGTAGGTATTTATCTAGCCTGGTGGCTGAAAGTGCCCTCAGTGGCGCGGTGGTGCTCACTGGTGGCTTGGTTACTGGGCAGCAGAAGTTGCTTACTGCCAAGCCAGCACCCTAACTATTATGATTATATATTTAGAGCAGCCAGCTGCAGGGGACTTGATGCTGCAGACAGTACAAGCAGGTGCAGAAGGTTGCTATAGGTGTCTGTCTCAAAGTTAGCGAACAACGGAATGTGTGAACTAGGGAAACAAGGGATACAAATAGCAACCCTAAAAGTGTTGTACTCCCTAGAGTGCTAGTCACTGTAGCCTAAGAACCTATAATAACATTTGACACACCCCCATAGGCTAAGTGAGGGGCATCAAAACAAGCAGGGTGAACAAACGGTCACAAGACCAGTCAATGCAAGAAGCAAAGCAAGCTCAGGGTGGATCTCAAGGACACCACACAAATTCCGAGCACAAGCAAGCGGCCACAAGGTCAGTTCAAGAGTTCACTATAATATATGTAGCAAAACACAACAAGCAGAGCAAACAGCAAGTCTACAGCAACCGAGGGCCTACCTCAACAAGCCCCAACTGCACACAGAACCTGTGGTGGTCACCAAGCGCCAGGGCCTTGGTGAAGACGTCTGCAGTGTTGGCCTCTGAGGCCACAAAGTCCAGGCGTGCCTGGCCGCGTCGCTGCAGCTCTCGCAGAAGGAAGTACCTCACGTCAATATGCTTCACTCTGCTCTCCAGTCGAGGCTCTCGACAGAGGAGGATCATGGCCTTGTTGTCAGCGTACAAGGTCGGTGCAAAGCGAGGCCGCTCACCAAGGTCGGCGAGCAAGAAGGTCAACCAGCGAAGCTCCTGTGCCGCCATGGCACCAGCGTATATCTCTGCCTCTGCACTGGAAGTAGCCACAGACGACGACCGTGTAGACCTCCACGACACAGCACCAGCACCCAGACTGAAGCAGTAACCCTGAGTCGAGCGCTGAGTCTCCACGTCGTCAGCGTAGGAAGAGTCGCAGTGACCAGTCAACGCCACTGGCTGAGTCCCTCCAAGCACAAGCCCCATGCCTGATGTAGTCGCCAGGTACTTCGCCACCCTCACAGCAGCTGTCCAGTGGACAGGACGGTGTCTCCCAGTCGCAACAAAGCGAGAGAGGACGCTGAGGGGAAAGGCGAGGTCCGGCCGAGTACAAGTCATCAGGTACATGAGGCAGCCCACCAGCTCTGCGTAGGGACCACTGGACTCAAAAGGCTCGTCGGGAAAGGGGCCAGTGAGTCTGTGGTCAACAGCAAGAGGTGTGGGCTATGTGGTGGAGAACTGGAAGTCGAACCGCCGAAGGACCTGCTGCACCATGTGTGACTGAGTCAGTGTGATGGTGCGAGCGGCTCTGTCCCTGGTGATCTGCAGGCCAAGGTAGCGCTGCAGTTCACCTAGGTCAGTGCACGTGTGTCTCTTTTGCAGTTCGGACTTCACCTGAGCCAGAGCTGCCCTGTCTGCTGTGGCAAAGACCAAGTCGTCGACGTACACTAGTATAAAGAAAGGAGTGGAACCAGTGCGAACAAACAGCGACGGGTCGGCAGAGGAAGGACAAAACCCAAGGTCACGAAGCGTGGAGCGAAGAGTGTCGTGCCACTCACGGGGCGACTGGCGGAGACCGTAGACTGGCCGTCTCAGGCTCCACTGGGTCCCAGGTGGGAAGGTGTCAGTGAAGCCAGGAGGGCGGCGCAGCCAGATCTCCTCGTGTAGTCGGCCCTGGAGAAACGCAGTAGAGAAGTCAAGGGAGTGCAGCTCGTAGTCTCGCTGTGCTGCTACGTGCAGTAACACCCGAAGAGTAGTCATCTTCGGGGTCGGGGCGAAGGTCTGGAAGAAGTCAACTCCCTCACGCTGACTGAAACCCCTAGCCACGTAGCGCGCCTTGAACACAGGCGGTGAACCAGGCGGCCGCTTCACCTTGAAGAGCCACATGCCATCGACTACATTCGCCCTGGGAGGGGGAACTGCGTCGACGTAGGTGCCTGTGGATCTCCAAGACGCTAACTCCGAGGCCATAGCCGCTTTCCACTGTGAGGCCCACGCCCCTGACACTGCCTCGCGGTAAGTGCGAGGAGTCGGTATGTCAAGGGCGTCGGGGTCTCCCTCAGGGGATAGCAGCATGGCACAGACAGAGGGGGAAGCGGCTGCCCAGTACTCCAGCTCAGACTCTCTGTCCTCTAGGACGTCACAGCCAAGGGCAAACCCACCCCCGACGGACAGAGGACGGGAGGGAGGAGCTGGCACCACACGGGTGGTGTAGTCAAGGCGACTGGCGGCAGCAAACTCAGCGACAGCGGCAGTGAGAGCCGAGACAGACGACGGAGGGAAACGAGAGTCGGTGACAAGAGTGGCGAGGACACGAGAGACAACAGGACGAACAGCGCGGTAGTAGTCAGTGACACGAGTAGGGGGGAAAGGGAGAGAGGACGGAGGCGGAGACGGGAGAACGGACTCAGGAGGAGGACGACGAAGAGACGAACAAAGGAGGGCAGTGCGGAGGTCGGTAACGGGAGACGAGTGACGAGCCCGCGGAGGACAGGGACGGACACGAGAGTGTGGGACAACAGGTGGAGGAGACTGCGGTGGAGGAGAAGACCAGACCGCCGGACTGTCGTCAGGAGGAGGAAACGTGGGACCAAACGCTGGAGGGGACGGAGTGTGAACAGGAGGAGAGGAGGGAAGACCAAGGGCCCGAAGGCCACTCACGGGTGGGAACAACTGCCGCTCCAGAGGGAGCTGCTGTGGTCGCAGCTGCGGCGGCGGTGTCTGCTGCTGCTGCGGCTGCTGCTGCTGCTGCTGCGGCTGCTGCTGCTGCTGCTGCTGCTGCTGCGGCTGCTGCTGCTGCTGCTGCTGCTGCTGCTGCTGCTGCTGCTGCTGCTGCTGCTGCTGCTCCAGCAGGTCCAACTGCCGCAACTCCTGCCGCTCCCTCTCCAACAGCACCTGCTCCTCACGCTCACGCCGACGGGCCGCCTGGAGACGTGTGTCGTGGCGGTGGGGAGGCGGAGTGGACTCCGCAGAACCAGTGCCTCCAGCTCCAGTCTCCTCAGAACCAGCACCTCCAGTGCCAGCGCCTCCAGCACCAGCACCCCCAGAACCAGCACCCCCAGGACCAGCACCCCCAGAACCAGCACCTCCTGTGCCAGCACCTCCAACTCCAGCACCCCCAGAACTAGCACCTCCAGTGCCAGCACCTCCAGCTCCAGCACCCCCAGAGCTAGCGCCACCTGCGCCAGCACCTCCAGCTCCAGCACCCCCAGGACTAGCACCTCCAGTGCCAGGACCTCCAGCTCCAGCACCCCCAGGGCTAGCGCCACCTGCGCCAGCACCTCCAACTCCAGCACCCCTCAAACGAGCACCCCCGGACCGAGTACCGCCAGTGGCTGCACCTCCAGCTCCAAAACCAACCGAGTCCACAGTAGCCTGTCGCGGAAGTACCGAAGGCTGCTGAGGGGACTGTGAGGAGGACTGCGGGGAGGGAGCCGCTACCTGACGCGCGACCGAGGGTAGAGGAGTAGCGTGAGACACACCTGACGGGGCAGGACCAGGGGGGGGTGGGGGTACCGGAGAAGCGGGAGCAGGGGGAAGAGAGGGTGCGAGGAAAAGGGGGGGAAGGGGAACCGGGAGACCTCGACAGGGGTACCGGGTGTAGTAGGACACTGACTCGTCGAACCGGACGTCACGGGAGTCTAGGAACTGGTGGAGGGGCAGGTGGTAAAAAGACCAGTCGGCCGAGGCTACCGGGAAACCAAGGAAGACACAGGGGACGGCGCGAGCCGAGAGCTTGTCCGCAGAGGTGTCGCGGACAAGCGCAAGGCAGCCCCAGACACGAAAAGCTGACCCAACACCAGGGGACCCGGTCCAAAGACTGGTCGGTGAAGCCTTTGGCCGCGAGACGCGCGGCTGGAGGTTCAGCTGGTGAGCGGCGTAGCGAACCGCGTAGGGCCACAGAAAATGGGGCGCACGGGCATGAATCATGGACGTGCGGGCGATGTCCATGACCAAGCCAATGCGGCGCTCAGCAACCCCATTCTGCTGTGGGGACTCTGGCAGCGTCCAGGACTGTACGATGCCCTGCTCGCCGCAGAATCCGGCAAGAATGCCTGAGCGAAACTCACCCCCACGGTCAGAGTGGAGACAGGAGACACGACGGCCACGAGTGCCCTCAGTGGCTAGAAGCCACCGGATCAGCGTAGAAGTCACCTCGGACTTCTTCGCGAGAGGAAACACCGTGGTGTACCTGGAGAAGTCGTCGACGACCACCAGAAAGTAGCGCTCCCTCTCAGGTCCCTGCGTAGGTGCAGGGCCCCAGACATCCAAGTGTAGTGTCTGGAAGGGAGCAGTGGCCGGACGAAGGGAGGAGGAGTGCGGAGTGGCACGAAGACGGCCGGCGACGCAAGGAGTGCACGGCGGCGCAGGCGAGGGAGGGAGCGACGGGAAGACGCAAGGGAGACCTGAGACAAGACGGTGACCAGCCATAGTGCGGAGGCGGGGGATCGACGCGTGGCCAAGACGGTGGTGCCACAAGACGGTCCGGTGGGTGAAAGACCGACACGAGCAAGACGCAGCAACTAGACCGGACACAGCAACCTGGCCGGACACAGCAACCTGACCGGACACAGCAACCGGTGGGGACGCAGTAACCTGACCGGACTCTGCTACCGGGGGGGACGAAGCAACCTGACCAGACGCAGCTACCTGCGGGGGCGGAGTGTGCAGGACGAAGAGACCTGAGTGGGGCTCTCTGGTGAACGTGGCAAGAACTGCCCCGGTGGAAGAGTTCGTACAGATCGCAGTCCTCCCGTGCGCAGGAAAAGTGACTGTGATCCCCCGGTCCTAAAGGTATCCAACACCCACCAAGTTCCGAGAGAACGAGGGGATGTAGAGACCAGTGAGGAAACCAGAGGGGACAGCTGGGCACGGGAGGGTGGTCGAGCTGCGAGCAACTGCTGGTCCTGAAGTAGGATCAGCCAGGGCAACTGGGACTGGAGCCGAAAGAGGTGTGACAGTGGTGTGGTCGCGGAAGAAGCACTGAGACGCGCCGGAGTCCAGCGTGAAGGAGAGCGACGCAACAGCAGTCGTCACGGCTGGGCTAGTGACTACACAAGCACCTACACTAAAAGCACAAGTACCGACACTAGCAACAGGCAAAGGTCCTAAGCTAGGTACACGTAAGCCAAGAGATCCGTACGTGACAGAATAAACAGCATCCATAGACATATCAAACACAGGGTAACCACTACGAAACAGACCGGGCCAGATCGGGAGAGCCGACTCAGGCCCAAAACGCTCACGGTAAAGGTCGTCGAGGCGGCTGTAGCAGCGCTGTGCAGAGTGGTCAGGACGCCAGCAGGTAGTGCCAGCGCCAGGGCCGGTCAGGATCCGGTACTGGCAGGGGCCGACGTCGCGGCCACCGCGACGAGCCCCCCAGCTGGCTGGGCCGCTGCTGCAGCCAATGCGACCTGAACCACCAGGCCCCCACGACTGCTGAGGGCGCCACAGCTGCTGAGGGCGCCCCTGCTGCTGCGGAAGCCATTGCTGAAACGGCCGCTGCTGCTGTCCCTGCTGCTGGAGAACCCTAGTGGACTCCATGATAAAAGCTAGCGGGGTGCAGGAGCGGCAGGCTAGGAGCGACAGGTGAAACTAGGCGAGGAACGGCTGGAGTACGGAGCAAATTGAGCTACGAGCGAGGAGCGAGAACGGCTGGAGCGAGAACGGCTGGAGCACAGCTGGCTGGAGCTAGAAACGGCGAGCTAGGGCTGGCTGGAGGTAGGAACGGCCGGAGCTAGAGACCGTAGGTGCGGCTGTCGGCTGCCGCTAGTAGAGCCACTGGCAGTGGAACGTACGTGCGACAGTAGGGGCTGCAGTACTGACGGCTGTGGGATGCAGGCAACTGTGCAGGTCGTCCGGCAAGCAGGAACGCGGCCGACAGTTGCAGGCCCCCACCCGAAACCCTTTTTTTTTTTTGGGTTTAATATTTTATTTATTTATTTATTTTCTGGCGCTAAAGCGCTCCGGGGCGCGCTGCCTGCAGGGTGTGCTGCCTGCGGGGCGCGCTACCCGCGGGGCGCGCCGCCTGCGGGGCGCGCTACCCGCGGGGCGCGCTACCCGCGCGGCGCGCTGCCTGCGGGGCTGGGGCGACGGGCCAGGGCGCGGGCTGGGGCGACGGGCTAAAGCGGGCGCCTGGGCGACGGGCTAGGGCGGGCGCCTGGGCGACGGGCTAGGGCGCGGGCCTGGGCGACGGGCTAGGGCGGGCGCCTGGGCGACGGGCTAGGGCGGGCGCCTGGGCGACGGGCTAGGGCGGGCGCCTGGGCGACGGGCTGGGGCGGGCGCCTGGGCGACGGGCTGGTGCGGGCGCCTGGGCGACGGGTTAGGGCGGGCGCCTGGGCGACGGGCTAGGGCGGGCGCCTGGGCGACGGGCTAGGGCGGGCGCCTGGGCGACGGGCTAGGGCGGGCGCCTGGGCGTCGGGCTAGGGCGGGCGCCTGGGCGTCGGGCTAGGGCGGGCGCCTGGGCGACGGGCTAGGGGCGCAGGCTAGGGGCGCTGAGGGCTCTAACGCGCGGAGGAGGAGGGCGCTAAGGCGCGGAGATGGCGCGGAGGGCGCGGAGGCTAAGGCGCGAAGGGCGCGGAGGGCGCGGAGGGCGCGGAGGGCGCAAGGGTGCGGAGGGCGCTAGGGCGCTAGCTAGGCTAGGCTAGGCGAGAGGATCGACACCTACTCATGATACCATCTCAAAGTTAGCGAACAACGGAATGTGTGAACTAGGGAAACAAGGGATACAAATAGCAACCCTAAAAGTGTTGTACTCCCTAGAGTGCTACTCATTGTAGCCTAAGAACCTATAATAACATTTGACAGTCTGGTCTGGGTCATTACTAGTGGCTATCTGGCTGGACCCAATGCATCCCCTTGAACTGAGAGGAGTGGGTGGGATGTATGTATGGCCAGTTGTCATCCTGTTGACAATGCACTCCAGCACCATGCTAGTGACATCATCTCTCTAGATCTCTACAAAGCCCCAGATTTCCAAGATGTGGTCTTGGTGTGCAGCTGGAGGGTCCTGATATATGGTAATAGTTTGCAAAAGTCTGCATAAATCCAAGTACCAAAGCAGTTAGGTGGCAAATGGAGCAGAGACAAATAAATGTCACAGTAGTATAGAAAGGCACCTAACAATACTACAATCAAGAGGCCGTTTTGAACGTCAGTAAAGCCAGTGCAACGCTTCAACATTTCACAACAAACAGTAGCACCAATTAGAGCTGTATAGGTAAATGGACTACTAAACCCACCGTCGTGCTTGCACAATGCACAGCATCTTGCGTGCAGCCACGCTGCAAAACGAGCAACAGTCAGACTCAAAGCACGACAAAGCAGCAGGCAAATCCAAGCACCAGTTGAGTAACAAGCTGATCAAAATTAACAGCAGGCCACGACGAGAGGAGGCTGATGACGGTGGTGAAGAATCAGCCGAAGAAGGGCAGGGGGCGCTGCACTGCTGCCTCCACCTGGCGCAGCTCTGCTATGAGCTGCTCCGCTGTGTCCTGGGGCAGCGGTAGCCGCCGCACCTCCCCCATGTACCTGGGATGGGCACGCACACAAACGTGCACACAGCACACACAGCACACACAGGTAGGTAGGTAGAACGTGAGAGCAGGAAACAGGGTGGGAGTGATGGGGGGAAGGGAGGGGATAGGAGAGGGGATGGAGATGGCAAGGTGTGGAGAAGAGAGGGAGAAGGAAGAGTAGAGGGAACGAATCCCGGGAGCGTGAGTTGTCGTACCGGCTGCAAGCGCTGACAAGCACGGCTCTGGAGGCGCGTGCGCTCATCCCGTCGCCCATGCGCGGCCCATCCATAGCCATGAACTCACTCCCGTCCACGCCGCCCGCTTTCCCCCGCCCACCACCATCCCCACCTAGCCCCCCGTCCGCATCGACAAGCGCTGCAGCCCACTTCTTGAGAACAGCGAGGACTGAGAGCAGCAGGCGCAGGCGGAGGGATGGCTGGCAGAGTGGGCCGGCAGCGCGCGAGAGCAGCTGCGAGTATGCTGCTGCGACGGGCTCGTATGCGCCGCCGCAAGCGGAGATGAGGGCACGAGGGATCTCGTCGTGAGAGGACTCGCCTCTTGCCTCCAGGTCCTGAGTGTGAGAAGGAGGGGGAGGGGGGGCACACGCGGGGAGAGACGGGTTGCGGGTGGAGCAGTGAGCATGATGAACGGGATGCATGAATTGCAAAAATGATTTTCGTCCCCACCCCTCTAACCGAAGTTTTTCCTTCCCTTCCACACCCGCTGTAACCTCCCTGTACTGTACTCTCCTCCCTTTATCCCCGCTTCTTCTCCCTCACCCCAACCACCCTGGACCCATCACAGCACCGCACCTGTGCTGCTTGCTCCAGCAGCAGGCAGAGGAACTCGAGAGGAAGACTGCCCCCACTGCCTCCAGAACCACCGCCGCCACCACCGCCGGCACCAGCACCAGCGCCGCTAGCAGCACCACGCATGGAGAGCGAGGAGCCCACCCTCTGCACTCGCTCACACGCCTCTGCAATGCCGCCCTGCTGCAGGCCCTGCTCTATGAGATTGCGCCACATGGCTCGCTCCACACCGTTGCTGCCGTCGCTTGCATAGCTGGAGAAGCGGAGAATCTCCAGGCAGACCTGTGGAGGGCAGAGGGGTTGCAACCAACGAGCATGAAGAGTGGATTCTTCTTGAGGCACTGTATGAACGGGTGCAACGGGTGCAAATATGAGAGATGGTGGTGGTTGTCCAAGGCACGTACCTCCCAGAGCTGGAACGGCACGGCATAGTCGTTGTACAGGTCTGTTATGCTCCGCACTTCCCTCTGCAGCTCTGCTGCTGCCACCTCCGCTCGCCGCCGCACCTCCATCTCCCCCACCCCGTTCCCTCCTGCTGCACCTGCTGCCCCGTCTCCCCCTTCTTCCATTGCACCAGCACCCCCTGTTGCAGCTGCTGCTGCTGCTGCTGCGTCGTGCTGTGGTGAAGGTTGGCCGTCAAACCTGCAAGCAAGATGGCGTGTTGGTGAGTTACAGAATGGGACGTGTCAAGAACTTGAGACGCATTGGTATCATGGTAGACAGCAACGATTTCTCTCTCTTTCTCTCTCGATTCCTCTTCCTCTTAGCTCGCGAAGAAGCTGGTAGAGTGACGACTGACTGGGATAATCAATCTCTCACACTCTCTCTATGTCTCTCCCTCTTTCACTATCTCGCGCCCCCCTCCTACCTGGTGGCAACAGCGAGCAGGTGGTCGCGAATGCGGATCTGGAACTGCAGCACCGCCAGCTTGTCTTTGAGCACCGTCTGCAGCCGCGCCACCTCCTTCTCGCCTCCGCCCCCTGCTGCTGCGCGCCCCCCCATGCCCCTTGCGCCTGCCCCACCCCCTGCTGCTCCCGTGCCCCCGCTGCTGCTGATGGCTGCTGCTTGCAGCACAGCCGCACTCAGCAGGTTGCACCTGATGGGAGGGGGGGGGATAGAGGGTACGGCGGGGATGAAATGGAAGAGGCAAAGGGGGCATGAGAAAAGACGACATGGTGATGGTGATGGTGATGGTGATGGTGGTGGTGCTGCTGTTGCTTGTAGCAAATGGCACACGACAGAAGAGCACGTGCTACCTGCATACATGCCCATACATGAACGCATGCACACATGCAAGCACTGACCGTTCCTCGAGAGACAGGAAGCCCGGGTGGCCTGGCTGGGCGCCGTCCACCTGCTGCCTCTCCGCAAGGCGCAGCAGCACATGCGCTGCCAGCTCATGCTGCCGCCGCTCTATGTAGTACCGTGCCAGCACCGACAGATACCGCACATGCAGCTGTGGGGGAAGGGGGGAGGGGGGAGGGGGAGTGGGGGACGGGGGGGTGAGAGACGAGGGGGAGTGGGGGGTGCGGAAGGGGTTGGAGGAGTGATGCGGGGAGGAAAGAAGGTTGGATTTGTTTCAAATGGGAATGGGTGGAAGGGACTAGAGGGGCATATGAACAGGATGGAGGCGGATTGACAAGGGTTGGTCAACGAGATTTACACATCAAGAATTGCACATGAACCACAAAAAGTCAAAATGCTCCAGGTGGCTTCTATCAGCCACACAGCATCAGACCAATGCGTCAGATCGGGGTTCGGGAGGCAAGGCTTCAGCTTCCGAAAGGACCCACAGCAGCACCCACCTGCTCGTCAGGGGGCTCCACGTCGCTCCCAGCCGTCCTAAGGAAGTCCTCCACGTCAGGCGCGGAGAGGGAGATGAGCAGCGAGTCCAGCCCCAGCGCCACGAGTGCGGCGTAGAGGCTTGAGATGTCTTATAAGTTATAACCACAGCAGTACCCACCTGCTCGTCAGGAGGCTCCACGTCAGAGCCAGCCGTGCGAAGGAAGTCCTCAACATCAGGCGCGGAGAGGGAGATGAGCAGCGAGTCCAGCCCCAGCGCCACGAGTGCGGCGTAGAGGCGGCGGTGGAAGAGCGCATCGTCCCATGCCACCGCCTGCCGCACCACCGCCACCAGCTGCTGCTCCCTCTCCTCCTCTGTCAGCGCCGCTGCTCCCAGTGGGCTGATGGATGGGAGGAGGAACGGGCAGAGGGCTTCACCACATGAGCATGATTCAATATAAGAAACACGAGCAAAGGACTTCCAACCAATCCACCCTTCCCTCTCCTTCCTCCTGCCTCTCTTCTCTCCCAACTCCCCTTTTCCTCCACTTCCTTTATATCTCTTCCCATCTCTCGAGCCCTCATACCCTCTTCACTGCTTCCTCCCTCATCCTCAAACCCACCCCATCCCATAACCCCTTGCCTCTCTCTCTCCTCCTCCTCTCTCCACCTCTCGCTCATACCGGGGCACGCCGAACTGCGGGCGAGCTGCCACGCCGGCCCCTATGGTCTGGCCGCTGAGCGTGCGCACTGCCGCCACCACCACATCATAGCATTGCTGCCGCGCCTGCAGTGCATGGTGCAAGTGGGTGGGATGATGCACTTTTGAGGAGACACCTCAGAGCCGCGCACGTTGGAAGTTGGATGATGCGTTTGGTGAATGGACCGTGGAAAGACAGTGGCAAAAGATGATCGGATGGAGGGGCACATAAGCAGCAGAGAGCCATGGGAGCATGAGAGGTGGCAGTACACCAGCAATCAGCAATCAAACAAACAATTAAAGAAAAGACTGGTAAGAGGTAAAGGAGCAGCAAGAGCAGAAATAGTGCACGTTGGGGTGTGAAGGAGGAAAAGGAGGCGGAAGAGGGTTGGCGGCAACATGCCTGCATGGCAGCTGCTCTGACCGCCGGGTCGAGGCGGGCATTGGTGGCGTCGTTGTTGGGGTCCAACGCGCGTGCCTTGCGCAGAGGCAGATCCACCACCGCCTGGTAGAACCTGGTGATGTTCAGAGAACGTCACACAGGGAGTGATGTTCGCACGGGGGACGGCGACGCAGGAGGGGGGAGGCAGGAGAGGGGAGGAAAGTGGGCCAACAAGAGGTAGGAGAGGAGCATGGTGTTGCACGGTGACAAAGTATATACCAGTCGGCCAAGACAGAAAAATTTCAGGCAATACAACAAGGGATCCCTCCACGGCCCTCTCTGGCAAAATCTCTCTCCATCGGCCCTCACAAAGCCCTCAAGCTTCACATGTACCCATCCCCTTATCCTTCCCCCTCCCCAATCCCTAGAACATCCCGACCCAGATCTCAGCCCGCACCACCACTCACCCAATGTCTTCAAAGCGCTGGCACACAGACAGCAAGTCAGCGGTCTCGGGCACGCGCAAGCAAGCAGCGACATGGCCTCCCTCGCAAGAAAACCATTCTAGAGGCGCCTAAGAGGTAGAGGCCACTCACCCAATGTCTTCAAAGCGCTGGCACACGGACAGCAGATCAGCGGTCTCGGGCACGCGGGCGAGCAGCGCCATGGCCTCCCTGGCGAGGCGCGTGCGCGTGGCAGCGTCCCCGGCGGCAGCAGCCTGGCGCGCGGACTCGAGGCACTGCACGGCAGCAAAGAAGGTCTGATCCGCGTCCGAGAAGAATGACGGGCAGTCCGTGCGCAGCCGCGCACACATGTCCTCCATCGACCCGCGCGCACTGGGAGTCGTGTAGTACTGTGGGGGGAAGGGGAGGGGAGAAGGTGGGGCGAGTTTTGAGGCGCCTCAAAAGGTGCAGCCGCACACACGTCCTCCATGGAACCCCGAGCACTGGTACCCCCAGCACTGGGCGTCGTGTCGTACTGAGTGAAGGAGCAGTGGTAAGTGGAGGGGGGAGGAGGGAGGAGGCAGAGGAGTTTTGGGGGGAACTTGGCAGGTGGGAAGCAAGCAGAGGTAGGGAAAGGAGAGGGGTTTTGCCAGCTTTTGCTGCGCTTGACTTCCTCCTACTTGTCGTTGCTTTGATCAGCGATTCCATTCTAAATGGTTCCCTGCATGAACCACAACCCAACCTCCATCCCCTGCTGCTACTATCCCTCCATCCCCTCTGCACCCTTCCCCTCTTCCCCGTCCCCCATTCCCCCTCCTGCCCCCCCAAGCAGCACCTGCAGCAGAGCGGCAATGAGCTGGGACGCCGCGGAGTCGCCCGCGGGCGAGCAGACGAGGTGGTGCAGGGTGAGGGAGGCGAGCAGTGCGTGCCACGAGGGGTGCAGCGCGTGCACGAGGCGCATCACGTGGTGCTGCGACAGCACGTGCAGCAGCCTCAGCGCCTCCGCCGTGCGCCGCAGTAGCCGCCGCAGGCCCTCTGTGGCCCGCACCTGGGGGCGAGGGGGGAGGGCGGGGGAGGGGCCGAGCGAGGGAGGGGGCGAGAAGGGGAAGAAAAAAGGGGTAAAGGCAACTGATGTGAAGGAAACTGCTGTGACGCTGTGCTTGTAAGTCTCCATGTTTCCCATCTTTTTTCCCTGCTCACTCAGACCCACTTCCCTTTTCCTTTCTAACCTCAGCTCAGCTACAGGACAGCCCATGCCAGCCATTCACTCACCTCGTGGGCGGCCAGCTGGGCGGCAGTGGGAGCCAGCCTCTGCCTCTTGGAAAACGCCCCCTCCGCGTCCATCGCTTCAGACATCCACCCTCCCTCAGATCCCACCTCTGGGTACCCACCCATCCCTGCCCCTCCCCCTCCAGCTCCCCCTCCTCCGAACCCGGCCCCCCTCTCCCTCCCCGCACGCCCCCTCTCCTGCTCCCCAGTCCCATGCCACGCAACCCCCCCTCCCGCCTGTCCCCCTCCTCCTCCTGCTCCCCCTGCGCCAGCAGCAGAGGGCGCGGAGGAGGAGGAGGGGAGGGCGGGAAGGAGGCCAGCGCCCAGCACACGTGCGTAGAGGCCGCGGCGGTGGTCCCTGCGCGAGCGCAGAAAGGCTTCCAGCAGGCGCGTCTTGGTCTCATATAGCAATAGCACCTCCGATGGTAGGCTGGCACGGCAGGCAGACGAGATGGGGTGAAAATTGGACAGGGGCGCGCGGGAAGAGGGGAAGGGGTGACACGTGGGGGAAATGAGAGGGGGAATCTGCGGAGAAAGTGGTGTGGAGGGGGGGGGTGGAAGAAGGATCAGGGGGGTGTGAAATATGGTGATGGGGGATGGCGGTTGAGAGGGCACGTGCGTTGAGAATGAGGAAAGCAGGAACAGTGTTCAGAGCAGTGCCAGGAGGAGTGCAAAGAACAGTGTGAGGAACAGTGCTAGGAACAGACCTGCAGTAGAGGGCAGCAGATGCACCACTGGCATTGCCACCACCAGACGCCCCTGCAGCACCACCACCTGCTGAGTGACCAGCAGCAGCAGCAGCCGCAGCGGCAACGGCACCGGCAGTAGAGCCCGAGGGAGACGAGAGGACAGGCAGGTCCCATATAGGCCCCAGCAGCCGAGCCACACATAACGAGAGCCCTTGGAACGCGCCGGAATATACCACCTGCACTTCTGCTCCTCCTGCAGCTCCTGCTGCTCCTGCTGCGTTACCCCACCCTGCCCCCATCCCCATCCTCCCTGCAAACCCAGCCCAGCCGGGAGCTGCTGCCCCTGCTGTACCATAACTGCCAGCAGCAGCAGGGGTGCCGGGGGCAGCGGGTGTGGAAGGGGCATAGGGCCGAGCCCAAGCTCCCGCCCCTGCTGGCCCTGCTGCTGCTCCATACGCCCCTCCTGCTGCACCTGCCACTCCTGCTGCAGAGCCGGGAGCAACACCCGGAGCAGCAGCAGGAGGAGGAGGAGGAGGAGTGCCGTAGGGAAGGGATTGAAGAGAAGGGAGGCCCACAAAGCGAGGGTCGTCTAGCAGCTGAGCTGCTCTCTCTGCCACCAGCACAGACACAGCTGACGCACTCCCTGACACTCCCCCTCCCATCCCTGCTCCCCCGCTCCCCATTCCACCAACCCCCGCTCTCCCCCTCCCGTCACCACCTCCTATCCCCCCATCCCACCCGCCCGCCACCCTGCCACGTCGCCTCTCCCCTCTTCCTGCTCCTCCTCCCCCTCCTCCAGTGCCCCACCGACCAGAACCACCACCGCCATCCTCCCCATCCATCATGTCTCTCCCAGAACTCTCCTCCCCATCGCCCGCCACTGCGCCTTCCTTCCACGGGCTGATCCCCGCCGCCAGCAGCAGGCACATGGCAGCAGCCTCCGCGCTGCCGTACCGCACAAAAAAGCTCTCCACCGCTGCTCGCGGCGCGTTCCGCTCCAGCAGGCGCCGGAGCACATCCACAGGGCGGTTCACTGCGAAATTCACCAGCCCAACGGTAGTTAGCAGTACAAGGGACCGCCGCGGCAGCATGTGTTGAGTTGCCAGGATTCCCCGCGCCCACAGCCGCCGCGCTCGCACCAACTGCTCCTCCTCCCCGCCTCCTTCCTTCAGCCGCAAGCCACCCATGCTGCTTCCGTCCCCTGCAGACCCCCCCTTTCCTGCTCCTCCCTTCCCAGGCATTCCAAACCATCCTCCCCACCCTCCGCCCCCTCCCCCTCCCCCTCCCTGCGCTCTCTCTGGCGATCCGGAGAGTAGCCAGCCCAGCGTCCCTCCCCCTTCGCCTCCTGCGCCCGCCCCCGCCCCACCTCCTCGCCCTGCTGCCCCCGAAAAAGGAGAATCAGGCGGGAGGAAGCCATTTGCAGCCGCAGAAGAGGCAGTGAGGGCACCGGGGAAGGAAGCAGTGAGAGCAGCAGAGGGGAGAGCGCCCAGGACAGGAGCTGAGGCGACGTCAAAGGCGGCAGTGAGGAGGAGAGGGGGGAGGAGTTCGGCCATTGCGAGCACACGGCCCTCCAGGGGCACGATGGACACGGTTTCCCGTAAACCGCGAGGGGGATGCGCCGATGGTGATGCGTATGCACCACCTGCGGCACCTGTTGCCCCCATTGGTGGTGCTGCGTGGGGTGCAAAAGGGCTGGCGGCTGAGCCCAGGCCTCCTGGTGCTGCTCCAGGCGTGCCAAACCCGAATGCCCTCTGCTGCTGCTGCTGCTGCTGCTGCTGCTGCTGCTGCTGCTGCTGCTGCTGTTGCTGCTGCTGGGAGGAGGGCGAGAAGAAGGAGAAGGGGGATGAAGGAGCAGCGGCTGGTGCAGGCGATCCAAACTGCTGTTGCTGCTGCTGGTGCTGCTGATAATGATGGTGATGATGTTGCTGATGCTGGTGCTGGTACTGCTGGTGATGGGTGGGAGAGGAGCCAAACCCACCACCGCCAGGCACAGCAGCAGAAGTAGCATACAATCCCGGAGACCAGGGAGGAATGGTGAGATCCCTGAGGCAGATAACAAGCTGCGAGGCAGTGGGAGGGGCCACTGCAGCAGCAGCCATGGATCCCAGGGGAGGCGAGGCATCAGAGAGGGAGAGCTGGCCGGCATGGCACACGGCAGCTTCCACCCGGAGCATGAGAGCCTGCTCCGCACCAAACGTCAGCCCTCCAAAGCCGCCCAGCCCTCCCAGCCCCACTGCCGCGCCCATACCTGCAAGCCCTCCTCCTGCAGACCCTGGAACCCCCCCCCCACCAGCAATGCCTGCGCCATACCGCCCTGATCCTGTCGCATCGTAAAACCCCCCCAGTCCCGTGCCTCTCCCCGCTGTCCCCCACCCAGGTGCCCCTGAAAAGCCAGCAGCGCCTGGGGGAGACCCGTACCCTGCCACGCTCGCTGCTGCTGCAGCTGCTGCCGCGGCTGCTGCTGCCGCGGCCGGCGATCCAGCGGCAGAGATTGGGAGCCCACGAGGAGGGGCAGCCCGGGCAGAAACAACTTTGAGCTGGGAAGGCCGCGGGTGCTTGTGGGTGTGGTGAGACGCGGCAGAGGAGGCGGTGGGAGTGGAGTGGCCAGGGGGAGGGAGAGGGCGGGGGATGTGGTAGTGCGAGGGCGTGTGGGACGTTGAGAGGAACACACGGCGGCCGTCGGATAGAACAGCTACAAGATGAATGGAGCGAGACTCGGCAACAGACGTGGGCGCAAGAGACACAACAGACGCCTTTGCTGGCACTACCCGTCCTCCCCCTCCTCTCCCTCCTCCTCCTCCTCCTGCTCCTCCGCCAACCCCTTGCCCACCACCACCAAAAAAGCCTCCCCCTCCAAACCCACCAGCAGCGCCAGCTTCGCGGTAGTACTCGCGCAGGGACCCCACGTGGGAGGTCTCGGCCACCTTGCGTGCGGGCTGCTGGCCGTCGGCGCCGAGGTCAAAGGCGAGAAGGCGCGAGTCGAGCGTGCGCGCGTACAGAATGGCCCGGTCCGCGTCCACCTGTAGCTCTGCCACTGGGCTGGCTGATGAGAAGCGGAACACTGAGGGAACCACCAGCCTGGGGCGAGTAGAGGTGCGGGTGGCGGGGAAGTGGGCGAAGGAGGGGGTGAGGAAGGAGAGAGCAGGTAAGGGGGAGAGTGGAGAGGGGAGAGGGGAGAGGGGAGAGCAGGGGAGGAGAGGGAGGAAGGAGTGGGGAGTGGGAAGTGTTTAACAAGCCAAACTCTCCAATCGTCTCACAAAAGGAGCAGCCTACGTATCCTTAAACATCCGTCTTGACTTTTGAGTCGACTCAAAAGTCAACTCGGTAAGGGGGAGAGTGGAGAGGGGAGAGGGGAGAGGGGAGAGCAGGGGAGGAGAGGGAGGAAGGAGTGGGGAGTGGGAAGTGTTTAACAAGCCAAACTCTCCAATCGTCTCACAAAAGGAGCAGCCTACGTATCCTTAAACATCCGTCTTGCCAGACCCAGCCGGTTCTTAAGCTCACGCACGCGCCAAGCACGCACGCACGCACGCACGCACGCACGCACGCACGCAGCTCGCAACTCACTTGGAGATCATGGCCGTGATTGAGTTGGTGAGGCACAGCTTGCGGCAGCGGCGCTGCCACCCCGACCCTGAGCTATACACCATCTCGTACACATGCCCGTCCTGCCCGCCCAGGAAGATCCTCCCACATGGCGTGCCTGCCACGCACGTCATGGCCACGTTGTCGCTGCTCACCACGTAATCAGGCAGCGGCTGCAGGACTATCTCGTCTAAAGGCGCCTGCCCCTGCCCCTGCCCCTGCCCCTGCCCCTGTGCGCCTGCGCCTGTCCCTGCCCCCGCCTCTCCCTCCCCTCCTGCTGCTGCTGCTGATGATAAGGAGGAGGTGGAGGGAGGAGGGGTGTTGAAGAAGGATGTGTCTTGCAGGCTGGGCGATGGCGCTGCTGCTGCAGAAGTAGCCCCGCGGGACAGGAGGGAGGGGCTTCCTCGGGAGCAGAGGCCGAGCAAAAGAATCTAAGGGAAGGAAGGACAGGGAGACGCGGTTTTGGGGAGGGGAACGAAGAGGGAAAGGATTCTTGAAGAGGGAAAGCAAAGCGATGATGGTAGTAGTTAAGTAGATGCCAAGGCCGCTACTAATGCCATACCATGCCATGACATGACATGAACCCTCCTCTTTCCACCGACGACAACCCCAGTTCCTACCTTGCACACACACACGTGTGCATGGCAATGCAGTCTCGCTGTTTGTTGGTGTGACAGTGAGAGTGAGACTGACCTCGAAGGGCGTGGCGAGCACGAGCAGGTGCTGGATGGCGTGGATGAACACGGACGGGCGCGGCTTCACCAGCCCCACCGCACAGATGGCGTGCTGCTCCCACGTGAACTGCACACACTTCCCGTCCCTGCTCCGCACACGTGTGCACGTGCGCGCGCATGCATGGAGAGTGCATGGACGGATGGGATGAGGGTAAACATCAACGCATGGATGGAGTATGCATGGGCGGACGGACCTTGTGCTAATTGCTGCGAGCGTGGGATATCAGCCCTAGCAGCATCTCTATCACTCTTTATGCAAATACAGGAGTACTTGAGAGAGCGAGAAAAGGGTTACCGTTCAGGAGCACAGCACAATTGACCCACCCACTCTTCCAATCTCCCTTCACCTCCCTCTCTCCCCTCCCCCACCACCCTCGCATCTTCATCCCACCTACTCCCTCCCCCTTGCCTTTCCGCGCGCGCACCTGTTTCCCAGGCGCCAAAGAAAGAGCGTGTTGTTGACAGTGGCCCAGGCCAGCCGCGCAGCGGGGAAGAGTCCGCAGAGCGCGGAGCCCTGGCCGCCCGCCGCGTTGTAGCGCGCGATCAGCTCCGCAGGCAGCTCCTCGAACCCCACCTGCTCCACTGCCGCCGGCCACTGGTGCCACCGAGAGAGAGGTTCCAACGCAGGAAGGCGCGCGGGAGGGACGGGTGGTTTGGGGAGAAGGGAGGTTGAGGGGAGGGGAGTGGGGTGACCAAGGGGAGGAGCGGAGGGGGCGCGGGGAAGAGGGTTAGAAGTGCAGCGAACAGTTGGTTCAAAGGAGGGCTTGTAACTGTTTCGTTCACCATTAGCTATTGGCCCTCTTTCCCCTCGCCTCCCCCGTGTCCCCCGTCTCGCAAATCCTCCTGATCAACTCACCTCCAGCGGCGGGCTCGAATACGGCTGGAAAGCAGACAGCCGGCCGGCCTCGAGATCCTCCTGCAGGTCCGGTAAACCCAAAGCCCCGCCCCCTGACCCAGCCCCCGCCCCCGCGCCCGCGCCCGCCGCTAAATGCCCTGACGCTGCCACGTGTCCTGCTGCGGATGCTGCCACGTCATCTGCGAGCAGATCCGATAAGAACCTCCCCGCTTCCTCCACGTCGGTCAGGACTCCAGCGGCGTCCAGCCACCGCTGCGGCTGCCCGTTCGCGCCCACCACCATGCTTCCCCACGGGCTCGCGGAAGCGCCGCCTACTGCGGAAGCTAATGCGCTCGCGGCGGCGGCGGAGGAGGGGAACGGGGAGGAGAGTCCGGGCATGGAGGCGGACGGCGGTGGCGGAAGCGGGGAAGTCTGCGGAGTGCTAGAGGGATACCCGTTCTGCTGTTGCTGTCCGCCGGGGGAGGGTGCGCGGTGGTGCGAGGGTGAGGGTGTGTGGAAGTTAAATTCAGGCGCGGGCGAGGGTGGCTTGGCGCGGGCGCCGAGCGGAGAGGAGAACCCGCCGCCGTCTTGACTCGCGGATGCTCCTCCTGCTCCCCCTGCTGCTGCTGCTGCGCCCGCGCCCCAGGAGCGCAGCGACGCCATGGAACGAGGCTGCCAATGGGAGACCAGAGGATCTACTGACGAGGGGCTCCCAGGTGAGATTGCGAGCGGGTGGCCCCTTCAGATTCCCGATCCACGAGTAGGTAAGCGTCAGACGGAAGGAAATCGGGCTGGATAAGCGGCGTAGAGGCGTTAGCTGGAAGAAGAATGACGATGAGGGAGAAAGGAAATGGATCGCGGAAGATGAGCGCGTGGAATGATCGACAGGGGTGAATGCGGGAAGAAACCGAAGACCAATGCGACGACCCGATACAAGCGAGCGGACCGAGGAGTTTTGACTCACTGATGCTAAAAAAAATACACCGATGGAAATTAGGTTGCTCGATTACACACTTAACTCGTTACAAAACAGGCTTCGCGAGGAAACGATTAGCTGTACCGCACAGTCGAGTCGGTAAAGCGAACGGATGCGAGGTTGTTGAGGAATCATCGATCGGCGTTTACTCTTCGACCAGCCGCTGGCCAGAACGGGCGGCTGGGTATCGGCGCCAAGCAGAGGCCGTCCGCATTTGCGCTAACGAGATTCTCTGCTAGAGTGCGGGACGGGAAACAGACGACTGACGATCCCCCGACTCGTGAGACACTTTATTGGTGATGACGCAGAAACAGATCAGAAAGGCGGGAGGACTATCGATCCTCCTGGCCAATGAAGCCACCAAGCGACTACTGTCCAGATGGGCGGGACGAGTCTCGAGAATTGATTAGGTCCAAGACCTTTCCAAATGTGTAGGAAGATGGGATGCGATAAACGGTGGTGCTCAAAACCATAGACAACTCTTGTAGAGTTCAAGGTGTTACTGCTTTGGACTCTACTTTGTTCTATTAAATTCCCCTTACGGTA